AACACAAACCTTGAGTTCTTCGCCTGAACCAACGATCGTCACACAGCATAGACGGTCCTTAGGTTGAGCCTTTTATTTCCGAAAATTCGTCCCTAAATCTTCACAGGCAATGAAACCCATGTGCGCACTTACTCCCGGTAATAAAAACCTAACTTGGAAGGATAGGCAAGGAAAATAAGGCAAAAGGTAATTTCCGTCCTGACCGATGCGCTGGTGTTAATGGTATTCGACCCGAATGGTCCGATAGAACTCCATACAGACGCTAGTTCGGATGCATATGGGGCTGTTTTAATGCACAAGGCGGAAGGTAAAAAGAGAGTAGTCGAATATTACAGCAAGCGGACTAGCCCCGCGGAATCTAGATATCATTCCTATGAGCCAGAAACGTTAGTAGTTGTAAACGCCGTCAAGCATTTCCAACACTACTTACACGGGCGGAAGTTCCTAGTTGTTACCGACTGTAATTCTTTGAAAGCCTCCCGCAACAAAGTAAATCTAAACGACCGGGTCCATAGGTGGTGGGCTTACTTACAAACGTTTGATTTTGACATCATGTATCGAGAGGGTAAACGAATGGTCCACGTAGATTTCTCTTCGCGAAACCCCGTAGACGCGAACCATCGTGTGATCGACAAAAGCGCAGAGAAGGAGATTAATATGGCCGAGATCTCCGGAGACTGGCTATTAGCAGAACAACGCCGCTGTATTTTCGACCAATCGCGGGGAGACGTAATTGCGAGGAGAAACGTCAACGGGAGTCGTAAATCCCTGTTACGACTATAACAATCGACACCACGAATTGATCGATCCCCTAATTTTCGTTGAGATGAGAGGGGTGATTAAGTTTGTATAACACTGTGATTCACAGAGTTATAAATCATGTATTTCCAACAGAGCAGAAATAAATAGACAACAACTTATCGCACGAAGGTAAGATAGATATGTACGTTAGAGCAGGGCTCTTGTACTCGAGTTCAGCGTATTAGTGGACGTAGCACTACAATATATTTAGGAGAGGAGATGTATGCTCGACAATACCGAGAACCGACAATAGTTTGCGTGAATGATGCTACTCTCGCGTTATGTTTAAACTGCCACGATAGGCGTTAGCGTTAGACTTAGTAGTTGACTTTTCCAACGAGGTAGAAGAAGTGAAGTCGAGCGACGATGCTGGGTCGGAGGAAAGCCAGCGATGGGTGTGCCTAGCGCACAGGACCATCGGATTTGTTCATGCCATTTTAGGTCAGGAAGTGAGGGCTGTATACATTGCTTCTGACTGGATAAACGAAGGTTGGTGGACTAGGAATGGTCTTAACCGCCCTCGATAGAAAGTTGCTAGTGGGAAGCATCGTACGCGAGAAAAACTAACTTTCCCGTGTCAAGCCGTAGTAAACAATAGTCGGGTCTGAAGGACCTTAGTAAGCAAGCTGCTCGGGTTTTATGACAGGTACTTAGGCTATTAAGCGTACATCGTAAGGATGAGCGGACGTCTGGTGTCCGTCTGGCCCGCGGTGTATGACCGGGGCCAGGTAGAGAGTCGCCGCAATCCCCAAATCTCCGAAATCGTTGGCAAACTAACCAACGAAGAGCTCACCGAAGGCGTCGCGAACACCTACGAACTACGTTCCGGCACCCTGTACCGCAAAATACAAAGAAGCGGCAAGACTCGGTGCTTGCCCATTGTCCCAAGAAGTTTTAGATGGTCGGTGATTAACCATGTGCACCGGTCAATTATGCACTTGGGATGGAATAAAACGCCGGAGAAACTATATGAGCATTATTGGTTCGAAGGAATGGCGAAATATGTTCGCAAGTTCATCGAGAACTGCCATGCTTGTCGAGTTTCGAAGGCCGGTTCGGGCAAGATACAAGCTGAACTGCACCCCATACCCAAGACTAACATACCTTGGCACGCCGTGCATATGGATATCACGGGCAAGTTGAGCGGGAGGGGGAACTCGAAGGAGTATGTCGTTGCGTTGGTTGACGCCTTCATCAAATTTGTACACCTGCGTCATACCCGGAAAATAGACTCCAGCAGCACCATTGAAGCCCTCAAGACGGCTATATTCTTATTCGGCAGTCCTTGCCGGGTAATAGCGGACCAAGGAAGATGCTCCACAGGCAAGGAATTCCAAAGCTTTCGTAGAAATAGAAACATCAAGCTTCACTTGATAGCAACCGGTGCTAGCAGGGCCAATGGACAAGTAGAGCGCGTAATGAGCACACTAAAAGGATATGTCCACGACGGTAGAGAAGACCGGTCGGTCGTGGCAAGACGCGGTCGGAGAAGTACAACTGGCTCTAAATCGCACCACCAACCGCGTAACTAAGTCGAGTCCCTTAGAACTGCTGATTGGTAAAGCAGTAAGACCTTACGACTTGATAGTACCAGCTAGTATAGAAGAAAAGACGATATATGTGGCCGAAGCAAGACAACAAGCCCTAAGAAACATAGAGGCTAGTGCCAAATACGACAAAGACAGATTCGATAAGAAGAAAGCTAGGATAGTTCGGTCCAACCTCGGTGACCTCGTGCTACGAAAGAACGAAGAGTGAAATCAGACGAAGTTGGATCCCAAGTCCAGGTGTCCATTTGTGATAGCAGAAAGGTCGGTCTAGAAGGAGACCGATATACTTTAGAAACCTTAGACGGCAAAAGATCGTATAAGGACAGTCACGATAGGCTAAGGAAGGTGCCAGACAGTTGCATCCCTGCCGGGTTGGACGTCTGCGGTGATGACAAGGATGGTGAGAATAGCGATGTGCGTATACCGATCTCAGAGGATCCTTAACCCTATGGCTATAACATTAGTCATAGTGCCCCCACACAAGCCTCGTGCAACAATGCTTTAGCCCCCAGCGCTTCTGTGTTACGCCTTGTGTGGCGCCCAGCGCTTCTGTGTTACGCCTTGTGTGGCGCCCAGCGCTTCTGTGTTACGCCCTGTGTGGCGCCCAGCGCTTCTGTGTTACGCCCTGTGTGGCGCCCAGCGCTTCTGTGTTACGCCCTGTGTGGCGCCCAGCGCTCCTGTGTTACGCCCAGTGGGGCACTCCGCGTTGCACAAGTTCTGTGTGGTCCTGTGATCCAACAACCTGAGACTCACCGGTGTACGAAATCAAAAACGATCCGTCGTGTCATTGCGGTCTGACTGATAACTCACAGAGTGCAACTAGCACTTCGAATATAAAGTATAACGACACGAATTCTTGTTGTCAAATCCCCGAACGAAACTTTGCTGATACACTGCTTACTTGGACATTTAGTTAAATCGTAAATAATGGCAGTTGCATCGAAACCAATATAAGAATACACGATATTTTAGATACACCCGAGGACGGGTGATTGTCAGAATGACCGTGTCGGAGAGGGAAGGACAGCGGGACTTTCCGTCGGGAATGCTGGGAAAAACCTCCCATCACCATAGTCAAGATTTTAATGTTTAAGCAATAAAAATAAGGAAAACAACTTTTAACGTTTCAATCTGGCGTTACGACGATGGGTTCAGGTTTAAGGTGACATAACGGGTCACCAGACGTAGCCACGGTCACGGGAGGGCCACGTACCTGACAGAGGTACGGAATGATTTTATGACTCTCCTTAAAAACAAGGATTGACCCGAGAAGCGGGAACAGGAGTATATAAGGATAGGTTCATCTGGATTCAGGGAGTTTTTTAGTTAGTAGTTGAGCGAATTGCCGAGTAAGTCACGCTGATACTGGTCATCCCGTGGACCGTGGATTCGTTATCGAACCTGGATTCGTTGTCACCGTCATCTCGGACATCCTATTGCCGTTACTCATAGCCTCTTGTAGTGCCCACATTCGCACTGATAAACACTAACCACATCCGCGACGGTAAAGTAAGTAAAGGTTCATAGAACGCCCCAAAGTGCCAACCTGACTCCGACATATATATTATATTATTGATACGTATATATGTGAAGGAAAGAAGGGCAAGGGGAGAAAGAAGTTCACGCGAATTTTTGCGTGACGTTATTAATAATTGAGTTTGAAACTTCTATTTTCAGCGAAATTGAACCGACGCGATGCAGCGTTTCCGCGGAGGAAAGCCACTCTACGAGTGACTTTTTTTATAGGCAAATAAAAGTTCTGTCTTTCTTTGTTCCTCCACGCCATCCATGTAAACGACCTACTTTGATTTTGGTTACCCGTAGCACACACGGGACGGAAGCCCCGCTGCGCTGCGCCTCGTAAATTCGAAAACTTCTTCCGAGTATCCGGCCTGCTAACGTTCTTCGATTCTTTAACAATATGACCCTGGCATATTGCAAAAGTAGCGGCGAACTTCTTAAAGTGTTCCCCGGGAAATCATAATCGTTCTTCCGAACTATGGCATGAGATTAGAATGAAGCATTATGGGCGACGGACAGATTATCAGCATTATTTTTCACAGAGGTCGGAAACTGCAAAAGATCGTGGCAAATATTTAACGTACAAAAACCTTAATAACATTAAAATAAGTGCAAGTTATGCTGGTTCATTATTTCATTCTATATCCGTTTAATCTCAATTTCAAAGGCAGCAAAGAAACAGCGTCCATAGAAAAACAGCATGCCTGATAAAAATTAAATAAAGCTTGCGAGATAGATACTTTTTCCGGTCTGTTCGATCAAAACAAATTTTTATATAATTTCATAACCTCAGAGAAGTATTCGAATACTTGTGAATGCTTTTTATAAATATAATGTGTGTTATAAATATTTTGAAATTTTATTGGCGATGTAATGGGACCCGACTATCAGGATTATATAATATACATAACATATATACCTAAAGGTTTACGATGATAAGTATTCAAATACTTTCGTGAACTACTGTAGGTATGTACGTACAACATGCACGATATTTAAAACTCTCCCAAAAGCATTCATAAACATTAAAAAAGAGAGAAGAAGAAGAAAAGAATTTGCAAGAAATTCATTCGAAACTACGTAGAGGCTATCGTTGGAAGCAGACATCGAGAGACGAACGAATACTACCTTCTTTCGCTTGCACGAATCCGTGCACCTCGCAGTAACTTCCGGCGGAACCGACGGCGCCAGGCGTGTCCAAAGTGAACAGTGTATTTGCCGACGAGCTGACCGCATCGTCGGGGGTCTGC